ACTGAAAATGTATACCTAACTTGTGACACCAGCTGGTAGCCATGGCGACTCGATGATAACCAGTTTTTTGAATATAACAACTGTTCACCCGATACACTTCCCAAGAACCACTCAAGGTTACTGAATGGGGGGATCGTACGGGAACCGGTTTTTCAACATGATATGGTCGTAATCCCGTCATTATCCTGTCTGATTCTAATTGAAATCTAAAAAAATTACTGATGTATGATTTTGACGGTTGGATATAGTTTTTTTTCTGTTATTTCCATAACGTTTCTCTATGAAGAATGTCAAATTGACAGCAAAGATGACTGCTTTTTCCTGCTATTATATGCGAAGGTCAAGTCCCTTATATCTTTCTCCATTAACGATCGACGCATAGGAGAGTTTATTTCAAGTTGGCTCACAACGAACAATAATGTAGACAGAAGTGAATACATGCCGTTCCTAAGGGCATTCTATCTAAAGATAAACAGATGTAACCCGAATTTGAAATCAATCCAACAATTTTGTTCTCCGTTCTGCAAAATTATTAGTCCTATTAGTATTATTACAATTTCTTTTTTCTTCCTCTCGTTTCACTGACAGCAATGTGATCAAATTTCAATCTTAAACTGTTTAGTTAAACTTAAATGTATTCGAAAATATATTCAAATTAAATACAGAAGTAAAAGATAAAATTTCAATAGGTACATTGTATTTGCAATTATTTTAACATGCTTTTCTTTTTTTTTACGCAATTGTTTACACAATAAAGGCCCAAGAACTACTTAAAATAGGTGGGGTTACTGAATGGAAGTGTTTTTCGGACGCAAGAATTGTAACAGTCTAGTGTGAACTTGAAGAGGTTAGCATTGTAGTGATCGAAGCAGCCTGTTCCACAGTTCAGCGACTCTTGAGAAGAAGGCAATTGTATAGAGCCTCTTTCTTACTAATGAAATACAAATAGGGTGGTTGGCACCTCTCTACATGATCTGACAAGTCTGTAAAAATCTGAACTGGAAGAACTAGAGAATGGAACAGATCAGAACAGTTCCCATCTAAATAAGGAAGGAATCACGCCTATCACTGGAAAAATGAGGATTTTTTAGTTCCAACACTATTTTTTTTGAACGGAGTCATATAAATATAGGCTATAATAATTGGAATCAGGTACGCTACATGCAGTCCACTGCATTTATTAATAAACTAATTAAAAGAATGGTGTTTATTAAATATATATTCGCTTTAATTTTGATAAAAAAAATATCATATAACAGCATTATATTTTGTTTTTGTCAATAAAACCACCATCTGCCTTAATTACTGCATTACAAATTCTTGGTATTCTTTCCCACAGTTTTTTTTTTTTAAAAAAAGATGGCAGACCTTCCTAAGCAGTCTTCAAACAGTGAACAAGCTCATTCGCACTCTTTGATCATTCAATTCACACCATACTAATTTATTGAGAGATGTCAGTAGACTGAGAAGGCCAACTCAAAATTTCCAAAATGGTGTTCCTTTTTTGAGTTGAGGCAATTCTGACATAATTTAAAAGAGTTTTGGATCGTTGTCTTGTTGAAAAGTAATGTTTTTTTTAATAGTTAATCTTCAAACAATCAGTATAATATGATTTTGTTCTTTCTTATGATTCGCCAGCGTTCTTCAAGCAATGAAAAAGCTCCTTCTTACGCTTTAGGTATTCTCTTCGAACTCTCCTACCCGATTTATCACATCCTAATTCAGTAGGATAGAGGTCAGCAGATTAAGGCGGCTAGTTAATTATTTTCAAAATATTAGACACTTGTTTTTTGATGGGGTAATTTTGGCTTAATTTAGAAAAGTGTTTTGGATCGTTGTCTTGTTGAAAGGTGATGTTTTCCCACCATGTCTAATCCAGACGGTATAGTATATCTTTGCAAATATTTGGTAATCTCAAAAAATATATTCAGGGATTAGTGATGAAAACAAAGTATAATATTTCAAATGCAAAATATTCGTTATTCAGCAAAATGTCTTCTGGACAGGCGAATTCAAATTTTAACTTTTTGGTAGTAAGTCTGGATAAAAATTGAAAAAAAAAAACTAAAAAGCAAATTTACTTTAGTTATGGAAATTGCATATAAGTATTTGTAATGTAATTTCTGTTACTTTATAAAGAGGAGAACCCTTATTTGGCGCATTACTGGCTTCGTTTTTTGGGGCATTGAATGTGATCCGGATAAAAGTTTGTTTCTTATTTTCTTTTGAGATATCTCATAGCCATATTCCGTCCCGTTAGGTTTGCTGGTTAACGCTATTAGTGATATACAAAATAGTAAGGAAGAAAAAGACTCACCTTGAAATATTCCTCTGGTCATGGCTATGATTATTATTATTATTAATCTATTATTATTATTGATATTATTATTATTATTATTATTATTATTATTATAAGTAATATACGTTTTTGTCACGCCATATTTCGTTTTCAAACAGAGATATGGCATTATTGGTAGTCTCTTGCATTGTAAATGAGTTAGAAATGGATTGTCAGTGGTCAGGAATAAAGGCAATCATTAATGGCAGAATACGACTATTATATGTAGAATAATTATTTTGTAGCAGTGTTTCACTATAGAAATGCATTGTAAATGAGGAAGAAAGGGATTGTCAGTGGTCAGGAATAAAGGCAATCATTACTGGCAGAACCGAGCTATTATATGTAGAATTATTATTTTGTAGCAGTATTTCACTATAGAAATGCATTGGAAATGAGGAAGAAAGGGATTGTCAGTGGTCAGGAATGAACGAAAGCACCACTGGCAGGTATTAGATGTACCATCATTATTTTGTAGCAATGTAGTTATGGAAATTGTATCTAAAAATATTTTATTTTTAGGTGTCTTTTTTAAAGCAATATATGGTATTTCCAGACATTTTACTTGATGCTTTATAAAATGCAGACCCCCTTTCTGGCGCCTTAATGTCTTGAATTTTGTGGCAATGTTTCCCCCCCATAGAACTGTTAAAATTAGGCGTGATAAGTGATCATCAGCCAAGCAATTTTAATTTAAATGTCTGATTACGGCATTGATCACGATGTCAGTGCAGACACTGGTGGTTATTAATAATAAGTGGCATATTCTGGGCGATCTTTTAATGCCACTCAGACAGAAAGGCCTCTGATCGGAATATTGGAAGTTTTGAGGAGCGTGTAACCACCTTCTAATTGCTATTTCTTCCAGGTCCAATTTGACATAGGGTTGCAACACGTGTTAGGGTCCCAGGTATGGGCAAATAGTGAAATCACCAAACAAAAACAAAATACTATGAAAGTATATAAGTACATTTTATAGTAAAATTACGGGCAATACCTTTTTATGCATGTAAGAAAAATTACCAATTTATAGTAAAATTACTAACAAGACATGTTTATAGTAGAATTGGTAATAATAAATATTTATAGTAAAATTACCAACAATAGTTACTTATTGTAAAATTACCAACATTAGATAGTTATAGTAAAATTGCCAGCAATACCTGAGGTGATAAGATGAAGCTATAAATTTGATCTACGATTCCCATTTACTTTCAGAGATTCCAATATTTTCCACTGAATGTACCCAACGCGAACATATATTTTCTCCGGTGACGAAAATAGATGATAAAAATCTTCACACACACACACACACACACACACACACACACACACACACACACACATATATATATATATATATATATATATATATATATATATATATATGAGATCTGAGTCATGAAAAAGCATATCTAAATAACATCTGTTATAAAACGCCTTCGTCATATTTCCCTTGCGTGTCTTTCGATAGCGGACATATATATTGATCACAAAATGTTGTAAAGATGTGATAAAAAAAAAAAAGGAAAAACGAAAATTTAGTCGTTTGAAACTCATGCAAAAATAAATTCCCAGGAATAACTATAGACTAAAGGTATGCGTTTAGCGACGTTTGAAAGACATTCTTTGAGTCTAACCTATGATGTTGGTCGTACGTTTTGAAATTGAATTATAAAATCAATAATATACGGAAATTTTGGTGCTTCAAGAACGGAATGTTTTCTATTTTTTTAAGTATTTCTTCAGATATAAAAATTCTTTTACACATCAAACTTTCCATTTCGTAAAATAGGATATACGCGCAAATGTTTCTAATAGATTTAGACGATTAAAAATTTTTCATTGTCTTTTATACTCAAGAACAGATCATCTTATATATAAAGTACAGTGTATGTAATTGTGCGTGTGTGTGTACAAGCAACTACTCCACCTTCTCTGCTCCGATTTCAATGATTCGTAGCTCATTCGAAAGATCTAGAACATTTAGGCGTATGTAACGATTTTCATTTAACTCAGAATCAGTGTTGCCAGATTATTCGAGACTAAAATATATATATTGATATATTATACTAGCCATGATCGTTGTTGTCATGGTTAAAGTGAAGTAACTTTTGTTTTGTTCTGTATGCAACATAGCACTGCACGTTTTATTATAAACTAGTTTAAAAGTTGCCCTATCGGGCTGCATTTAAGCTAGCTCCTGCGGAGGAATTTTGGTTTGGTCATCATCACAATAGCTAGGAAGGAGTAAATGCGATAAACTACAAAAAGGCTCAAAATTGATCATTGCATTTAGGTATTGAATTAATGTTTAATGCTTTAAAGAGTTCAACGTTAATTATTCTGCTGCCACTAAAAGATGATTTGGTGTACGTAGATCCTTATAAACGATGATTTTTATTTCAAGGGTGACAGAACAGGGGACAATTTATACGATAAAATTAATATAGTGTAACGATAGGAAAATAGAAATTAGAACTATTTTTACATTCAACATTTGAAGTGTTAGAGAAACATAATAACTAATTAAGAAATCTATTAATTATGGAATTAATTAATTATGATATCTATATGAATAAAAGTGATATTGTAGCGCAACTTTGGGGTTAAAGAGCCCCAACTCTGCAGTAATTTACATATTAGGCACTCAATATCTGTA